AGTTAGTGAGTATTGATTGGTTTTAGCACCACCAAATTGAAAGTCAACAAGTTTGATCCAGATCAATGGATTCTTGCAGATATTGCAATTTCCCAGGTATATGCCAGTTTTAAGCCCATTTATGGAATGATAACCCCAGTTGTATCATTTATAACAGGTAAAGGGCCTTAACTGTGGTACACTAGACTTCTGAAACTTCTTTTTGGGGGTTGCTGTTGACCATGATATTCCGGATGAATAATTGAGCATGAAGTTAAGAAAGTCAACAAAAGCAGCATCGGCCAGTCCATCAAATGCATGCTTTGCTGCATGAACGTATGGAACGTTGAACATGATTTAGCATACATTGGCAATAAACAAACAGGTTGGTTCAACCATAATTGGTGAACCACCTGGCAATGCATGTAGTGAAATCATGTGAAATCAACCATCAGGGGACTGGAAGTTCGAAAATTGGGCACGAAAATTGGAATGTATGTCATAAATTTGCGCAATGTTTTCTGCTAAAGATGGCTTGTACCATGGGTTTCGAACATCTTGAGGAAGCCCCGCGCTTTACCGCCAGGATCCAACGAGAAAGGGGCCACAGTGGGAGGATCGAAGCAGTCACTAGGACGCGACGATTCCGAAAAAGGTCTGTCCGTGTGGTTTGCATTTGCTTGTTCGCTGGTGTGTGATTATTGAACCAGCACCAACTTGGAATCTGTATATATATATATATATTGTACAAGTAAATATCAATATAAATATACACATTATACAGCACTTGCGTCAATGTACTTATAGTACAAGTATGTTTTTTTGGAATGATTAACTTATGAACATGATACTCTTCCCCGCATGAGAGCGCGCAGTATGGGAACAACTCACTAGTTGGAGGGAAGACCTGCAGAACTCTCCTCCTATACTTATGAGTACAACAACATGGATTTCCCTTGATTGTGAATTGATGGTTATATATCACTATTTTTCAGTGATGGGGAGAAATTGAGAAAACATGCGTCTCTAATATGCCAAACCTACATGAGCTTCCTGAAAAAGAACAACCCCGTGATGGGAAAGTCCTGAGAAAACAGGGATGGTGGCCACAATTTGAGATATGGTTATACAGAGGGGTCCTATCCTGGTTTCCTTGTCCCCTCCAGTAATCAAACATGGCAATGGAATGCAATGGATAAATCTCTCATTTATAGGGAATGTTCCACTGTTCCAATTACCCTCTGGTAAACTAACATAACTATGGAAAATCACAATGTTTAATGGGAAAACTCACTATAAATGGCCATTTTCAATAGCTATGTTAAATTACCAGAGGGCATATAAAACCTCCATATTTACGGCTGGGGAATTCTCCAGCTTGCAACGTTTGATTCCTGGAGGCTAATGCGCTAACCTGAGGCCATAAACCTTCGGCCGGCGATGAAGATATCGATCCGATGCTGGATTTGCAGTGTGAGACAGGTGAAGCAACAGTGGTGAAGCAACAGTCAAACAGTCCATGCTTATGAACCGATTTTTGTGGCTTCAACCTGACCAAGACTTCTCTTACTAGTCTTACTTGATTGAATATTGTGCATTTGGCCCACAACAACTTGCTAGATATGTTGGTTGAACCATCGGGAAATTGGCAAAATTTGGCAAAATCTTGCCTCTGATCATGGGAGTATGGGATCATGAGCCAACAAATCAAACTATGCCCAGACTAGGGATGGAAGCTGGTAAAAAAAGCCTATCATATACCCAATCCAACTTAAGATATATCATATGTACCAATTTATCCCAGTTCGAGTTCGCCTATAGATACAGAATCAAATTTCGCCATCCTGGAAAGGCTCTTTCCTGTAGCTTGGCACGGCCTTTTTAGTTGCCGAAGTTTCGATCACTTTTGTGGTGGGCAGCTGCTGATTTCAAGCCGCAGGGCTGTCCTGGGGCTGGGGCTGGGATTCAAAGGCCAACAACCAATCCTCAGCTCAGATTTTTAGAAACACGAGACATATGAGGTTTCTAACTTTTGGTTACTTACAAAGTGGCCCCAACCTAGATAGCTAAGTTGGTTCATAACTCCAAAAACTATGGTCTATGATATTTAGACCTATAGTCAATCAGGATTTATAAACCAACAAACATAACTGGTTGGTGGTTTGGAACATTTTTTTATTTGTTCATACATTGGGAACAATAATCCCATTGGCTAATATTTTTCAGAGGGGTTGAAACCACCAACCAGATAACTTGGTGGCCCCGCCTTGTGCATTTGTTGGTTTATAAACACCATCCAACTAGTTCGATATATCATGATATATCTATTATTAACCATAGAATCCATTGCCATGGAATTCATCTAGTTATGTTTACCAATGGATGGATAGTTTCAAACCCAGGTTCTCGGGAGAGCTTATTTTAGCCACACGGTGACAGTTTCAAACTCATATTCCTGAGTTTTCAAATGTTTTCACCCTCGTTTGGTAGCTCGCTTCATACAATGTGCTCTCACAGTTATGTTAGTTTATGTTCACCCATCCAAATACAGCTATGTCATGCTATGTCTATATGTACCTTAATAGTAATTCATAATGTAAAATAGGATAAAAACATAGAAGCAACCAACTTATGAAAAATCCATGTTGAAACCGCCAGGTCAAAAAGGCCCATCTTCACAACCCCGCCCTCAGGAACGAAGACGTAGCCTCCGTGGTCTTGGACTCCAACCAAGGCGGGAATGGGAATTCGTGGAGAATTCATGCAGAAAATTTCAGGTTTAGCGGAGATTTAAGATGATCAAAGATCATAGTTCGACAACGCGACATCCTCAATGTTAATGTCTGGGCAACACACGGCGTCTGTGGGAAATATTATGTACATATAAGATTATATAAGATCACATATATATATATATATATACATACACGTATTAGTACATTCCCCAAGTCGTACGTTTCAACCAAAGGTCACTTGGCCGCTGTTTCTCAGGTGAAAAGACCTATGTCGGTGAAGTGGTGCCCCAAAGAGATGGCAGGCACGCTCCGACAGTGCAGCAATACCAAGTTGATTTGAGCAGTGGCTGCGATCTACCCATCAAAAGACTAGATTTATATGAATATGATACTGAGTATATTTGCATAGCCAGAAGTAGTCAGTTAGATATATATATATATATATACAGTATATGTAGGGTCAATATCATTATCTATTTCAATCTGTACAGATATGTTAGACATTAGACATATTTTAAACAAAATAGAAATATATTATGTAATATATTATGTATTATTATATATATAATCATATATGCCCACAGCCCCGGGGGGTTGATCTCCGCAGGACAAGGCGGTCCATCGCGGTGGCCCTGCAACGAAGTTCGCAGGTCGATGAGACCATCTTGGATCAGCCAGGGGTCCCATTTTGGCATGGACTCAGGGAGAAAACCATAGGAAAACCATAGGAAAACCATAGGAAAACCACAGGAAAACCATAGGAACACCAGAGGAAAACCATAGGACAATTGTGATTTCAGTAAGAAACATGGGGATTTCAAGGGATTTCATGGGAATCGGTTGAAAACTGACTATGGGATTTAGGGGGTTAACCATCAAAACTTGGGGATGTAAGTGATGTAAGTGATGTAAGTAGATATAATGATATTTAGTCGATTTAGCCTAGGGTAAACGTTTACATAGATGTGGAAAATGAAAGGTTCCCTTAGGACAATTTTCTAGAAATGGTGATGTGTCCATGTCTATTTCAGTTTACAGACAGGTAATTTGGGATAATTTTGTATACTGGACATTCATTGGATGTAATGTGTATATATATATATAAATATACCGACATATCGGGGTATTTCATGCTGCAATGCTGCCAACTAAGAATAGGATACAAGATACATCAACAGACACTAATCACTACTTGAATTGTCCATCCCTGGGATCGTAAGTGGTTCAAAATCCATATATATATATGTACATACATTAATATACATTAATATATTTTACACACATTAATATACATTTATATATATATACATACATACATACATACATACATACATACATACATACATACATACATACATACATACATACATACATACATACATACTAGTGTACATTATCCATATATGCCCTAGTCTTACTGGTTGTTTCATACACTTACCCACTTAGGATCTCTTTATGCCATGTGAGAATCCCGGATGGAAGAAGAAAGCACTTTTGGTGGTTCATGCATAATAAATTAAACATGGTATACCTTCTGGTAAATTAACATCGTTATGGGAAATGGCCACATCTATAGATGAATTACCTTCGACCTCGGCGATTTTCCGCATCTACGTTGCTTTACCGGAGGGTATACCTAAAAGAAATAGTATGTGTATATAGTTCTACATGAATGATGTATCCTGCAGTAGATAGAAAACGGATGTTTGAACAAATCCTTCACTGGGAATATGGTTGACATGCTATATCTATATCATCATCTTGTTTTCATTGAAATCTTGGCATCGGACCTGATGGTGGAGGAGAGCTGGAAGCGACTTGCGAAGGTCATAAAGATTCGATGGCTTTGTCTGGAAGACGGGGATGGCACCAGTGGAATATATCATGAGCAGTCTTTGGATTCTGTTTTAGCACCCCATTCTAAGACATCGTGGGGAGATGTGATCAGTCAATTTAGTTCTGATGTGCCATGCTTAGCAACAAGACAGATAGTTTCCCTCTTTTTTCTACATTAGATCATGTTCAAACCATGTCATGGGATAATACAGCAACCACCTTGATTTGTTCCAAGCACCTAGCAAGTATGTGTGTTCAAGCAGAAGAAAGAAAATCTTTCTGTGTCCCAGGTCCCAAATGATGTTTTGTTGGGTTCAACTGGATCAACTCATCCTGTCCAACAAATTCATGATATTTTCCGGTTTATCCCATGGGCAGTTCAACCAGAAGAGAGTCTCCAAGTTGCTGTGCTCTTTGCTCAACGCAGTGGACCCCGCCCCAAGACGCGCGCCCAAACGCGCGGTCTGCGCCATGGCATCGGTACTGCCACTCCCAAAGGTCAAGAAGGCTCGTTCAGTGCGTTTTGTTAGCGCATCTAATGGATACAAGTTGTACAAGGAAATGGGCCCCTGAGTCAGATGGTTAACTTGACCTATCCAGTTGTCGATATATATCAACCAGAAATGTTTCATGTTTGGGTATGACTTTACCCAGGATTATGCGATAAGTTGGGGTCTCCCCTCACAAGAAATGTGGATAGTTCGCTTCAATAGGGGGGCAACAACAAAAATGTAATGGTATGGTTGGTGTTTTGTTTTCATGTGATGATGTGTTGGAAGATATTTTCCAACCTAGATAGACCATGGAGTGATTTAAGTTGCTGGTAAGTGGCTATAACATTCTATAACCCAAAATAGTCGACTGAATAACAAGTTAAGTTACTCCATGCCCCATGCAAGTGTAGCCGCAGTTACGTATATCTATAATATAAACAATTCATGCTTATTTATCCCACAATGTGAGTTACTTGTACCTTTGAATTGTTCGACTGAGGGTCTAGGTTGAAAACTCGTATGCGTCACCTCTATGTTCAACAGTTACGAATCAGTTCTTATAGTTATGTATCCCCGTATTTCCCATTAAATAGAAGTAGATCCAGCATCATGATAACAAGGTTAATCTCATCATCCCATCCCATTCTAATGATCATATCCATAGGTTAACTATCTTTGTACGGTTATGATGGTCATTGATACTCAACATGCTATACAACTAATCTAGTAAGTATACCTATCATTTTTCAAGTAGAAGGCAGTTTTTGACTTCATAGCTCACAAGAAAGACTGATTATTGATGACTATTGTTATAACCATATATGCCGTTAAATCCCATGACATCCCATTAATTCACATTATATGCCATCATATCCCACAACCATGATTTATTATAGCCTTATCCTCATTACCTCATCACATCCCAACACATAAAACATGCAAGGTGCCGCCCCCAAACGATAACTAAGCTGGTAATCATAAAGTAAGTAATGAATTCTGAATGGTTTATGGTAGATATATTGTTTGATGGGTTTTTTGAACCAACAAATGCAAACGGCCATTTCAGGCACCTAAACTGGAGGTACTCTACCAATCTGTGCCATTAAACAAACACACATATTTGGGGGTATATGCCCTCACAGAACCCTTACAATAACCCTGGTATCGATATATATATATATTATATAGGTATAAGATGTTATAGGTCTCACAAACCATGCTGAAATTGGACTTATTGGCACCAACTTAGCTATCGTAAACAGAGGCCCCGTTTTGCAGTTAGATGAAGTTTATGAACCGTTTATATCCATTCCCCATTACTATATACCAGTAACATCCATAGTAATTGCATACCATTAGTATCATAGACCATTAAAATTCATTAATCAGTATTTTTTTTTGGTTGCGGGTCCTTCCATTAATTTAGTTACCTAGATATTTATACGTATTAAAGAAAAAACGCTATTGCCTTTTTGTTGCTTCCGGTTACGTCACTTTTTGGGGGCACCTTAAACATGTCACAACAGGCGCACCTCAGCGTCCCTTCTGACCTCAACACCTTCGCACGCGGCGACTCGGGCAGCAACTCGGGCGCCGCGGCGACCTCGCCGCGGGACGATGATCGCCGCATTTCGCGCATCGCGGATATGGTGCTGCCACGGCCGGATATGGAAAGTCACTGGGCGGAAAATGGTTGGGGAAATTTCGGGGTTTAGTAATCCTGGGTTAAGATTCGAATGGAAAAGGCCTCAAAGGTAGGATTGAAGTATGGGAAAATGAAGGATTTCACCAGGAGAATTGGATTTGCAGCAGATTCAGGGGATGTGAAGGGAGTTGAATGGATTCTAATGGATATTCACTTGCTAAAATCAAAGAGGTAATCAACAAACATTGTCATATAGGTGATTTGGCTAGATAAGTTGGTTTTGAACCATGGAAACTGTGGATATATTTATGTGACGTCTATGCGTATAAGCTGGATATAGGTGTTCAAACCAACAAAAATAGGGTGTCGCAGGTTGCAAGTGGGTATATTTTGGTGGTTCAACCATAAAAAGGATGGGATTTAGTCACAACATATCATATCGAGGTTGACCGTTGACCAACAAAAATAGGGTGACTGGCTCTGCACTTTTATACCAACTGATAATTTCTGCATGGTCAATTTCACCAGCATAACTATATATATATATGTAAGTTACCAAGCCAAACTTGCATTGTTATGCAGAGCCTGCACATGTTTGGTGTCCAAAATGGCTCGGCTGCCAACGAATCTGGCACCAATGTCATTGGAAGCATTGGAGCCAGTGACATTGACCACAACGTTGTAATGACCATTTGACCCAATGTTACTTATATTTAATAGCCAACTAGACCTAGTTCTAACTGGAAAGTTGGGGATTGCACTATAATCCCATTAAACCTAATCATAAACACGTAGATATTAGATGTTTAGTACATACTATCAACATTCGTTACAAAGCGGGCTTTCCTGAATAGCTAAGTCCAATATCTATGGTTTATGATGTTTAATGGGGTTTATAAATCCAAAAAGCATAGCTGGACGGCCCCACATTGTGTGTTTGTAGATTTATAAACCGCATCCAACTAGTTCGATATATCTATCACAAACAATAGTTAGTTCATTTAGTTGCGTTTACCACCCTCCCAATCTTTGTCTTAGTTACTTAGATATTTTACCGTTGACATCCATTGGTCCGTTCCTTTCGTCAATGGGAATTCCAAGATCCTAAAATGGAGGTACTGTACCATATAAGGCCATATGTTGTGGGGATATTCCCTTGGGCCTTGTACAGGCCTTATACAGGCCTTATATCTGGTAGGTACCTCAAAAAAATCGGTTCCTGAAATGGCTATTGATATTAGAGATATTAGAGATATGGACCATATAATAGTTACTCAAGATATAAGTTCCATTGACATCCGGTCCATTTCTTTTGCTTTGCCTCGCTGAGGCAAACCCATGAAGGAGGTCTCCAACGGCTCCACCGATTTGCTGCAGAGCATGAAGCAGACCATCGTGGGTCGCGTGCCGGTGCTCGGCGCCTGGGACATCCTTGGGAAATCCTTGGGAAATTCATTTCCGGAGGGTTTTGGATAAAAATCTGGTGAACAAAAGAAGGATTGAATGGTGGATGGCGAGATTTGTTTGGGGTTGAAGAGTTATTTATCCCAAGTTTGCCAAGCGAATGTGGATATGTTTGTTGCATTTGATTTAGGCAAGAACGAGCAGGGAATTCAAACAAAAAAAAGACTGGCAGTTTCACCAGGATTGCAAAAAGAACAAAATCGTCGAAACCCCAAGAAACGAGAAACACGGGCCTGTGTAAAACATGGGTTTGACTTGAGAAGTGCGAGCGGTCATGGGGATAGAACCATCAGAAAGGTGGGATGAACAATCAAAAATTGTGGGCAAACTTGCAAACCAGCCTACAGAAATGGGAATGACACAGCCATCAGCCATCATAATGAGAGTTTCAGTACTGATGTGTCTGACTGTTTGAAGATGATTGGGTCAAGATCGTTGGTTGTTCCCTTTTTTGGCATGACCTAGCCAGCCCGACTAAACTCAATGTTTTGAGTGAATGGCTGTTGAACTTTCACTGTTGTGCCCAATGTTTCACTGTTTCTGTCAGTTTTTTTCCCCTGCCAAGAACCTGTCGGTTGACTATGAGAAACTTCCTGGGTTAAGGTTTCTATTTTTTTGATGGTGCACATAGTGACATAGTGTAGAAGCATCAGAAGCAGGCCCTCGAATTTTACATACCCTCCCAATCATACCAGTGATATAGAAACATCTTCGCTCAGGATGGTTGCCGTACTACAACTTCAAGCGAGACTTCTTCTATGACTCTTGTACACAGGGTGGTGGAATGGAGATGGTACCCTGGTACACTCTTTACTATGTCCTCTATGGTTTTCTGTAGCTCTGAACAGTCTGAACAGTTCCAAAAGCGGTGTTGTTTTTTCCTTGTTTTGACACACCATCCAATACGGAAGCTTGATGGTGCCTTGATGTGCCGCACATCAACATACTGCTTATCGGTCAAAGCACCTATTTTTTGGCCTTTTTGGTGGTTTGGAACATGAATTTTATGACTTTCCACTAATATTGGGAATGTCATCATCCCAACTGACGAACTCCATCATTTTTCAGAGGGGTAGGTCAACCACCAACCAGTTGCCAATCAACTCCATGTTTGGTGTAAAAAATCCTTTTGTTGGGTGCTGAAATCCCCACTGTTCGACAAACAAAGTCTGTTGTCGGATGCAAGCCATACCCCACCGGCTTTGTTTCATATGTAATTCTATATATTTTATATTATATAATTATTAAATATAGATATTATATTATATATATTATATATATAGTATATTATATATATTATATATATATTATCTATCCACTTGTTTATATCCAATTATTACATCCAAATCAACTTATATTTCCAGTGATATATCCAATGAAACCTTTCAGGACTTCATCGGTGGCGCCACCATCGCACTGATCTGCCTGGTGCAGACGCTGGCGCATGCGGCCATCGCTACGACCAAGGTCATTCAAGGACACCGTCCATGCTAGCGATGGCGAAGTCGATTTACTTCACAAAAAGTGCGTTCATGTTTTGGTTTATTGGTGACTTCTATGATGGTTTATTGGTGAATTCTATTATTCTATGATGGTTTATGGTAGATATAGGTGAATTTCTATGGGTTGATGGTAGATATCTCAAACTACTTCCACCACGGTTTAGCGACAAACATCGGCCAGCTTGGAACGACTGGGCACCACCACAAGGGCACCAGGTCTTGGAGATGTAACGATGGGAAAGCAACAGGACATGGGGACATTGGAATGAAACATGTTGCTATAGCAATAAAAACCCATCTATAGATACCACTGCTACCATAGTTCCATGACCTATTCAACTATACCACAAACCATACTTCATCTATAGTTAATAGTTGATAGAAGACCCTAGCTTCCCATTATAATTGGGACATTCATCACAGTCTGAGGGCTAGCTGGACCGTTGGGGAATTCATGTGCGCGCAAAAGTTTGGATGCCCAGTCCTTGGGGAATGGTCATAAATCCATTTATAGAGATTAATATGTAAACAATGATCATGGCACATATGATTTGAAGAAAATCTGAGGTTCAACAAGCAAACATTGAGATTGAACCACTAGCAACAAGTAGGATTTAAGCAGCAAACATGTTGATTTTGTATGTTTTGTGGCTGTTTTGTGAATGGGGATGTAGGGAGACGATCGGATATTTGACCAACAATGACAGGAAACCATCACTGTTGGAATGCCCAACTGTTGGTGAAAAGTGATTCGTTTCGCCATCGAAACGAGGGATTCCAGCGCCAAACCATGGTGATTTCACCAGCACATATTGGTGTTATCCACCAAAAGTGAGGGTTATTCACCAAAAGTGAGGAAACAGTGGTGAAGCCACTACCTTTGTTGAAACCTTTTTTTGCGGGAGTCAAGCACCAAAAATCCAGAAAAACTACGGACTCCCGAGCTGGGGATCACCTGATGCGTTTTTTTTTGATGTAATTTTATGGGCATGTATGTTCAACCAGATCATGACCGGGAGTAAACCATCCATAATTATTCCCTTTTCACCACAGCGGGTCTATGGCTTGCGATGGCTTTCCAGATTTATTCCATACTGCGTTAGGACCTTATTGCGCTTTCGTGCCACCCTTTGTTTACGCCATGCGACTCGGCGCTGGATTGGCTGGACATGTTGTGCCATGCCACTTTCGAAAGTGGGACCTCGACCTCGATGGATATTTCAGCACCTTTCGAGGTTCCAACCAGCAAAAATAGGGATTTGTAGGTGCCAAACTGGTGACATATGATGGCCTGGCTAAAAGCTACTGCCGGCCAACGAAAATTTATGGGAACAAACACAGCTGAATCAGAGTTGAAAACTAACTTACTGTAGCTGGCGGGGTGAACTTGGTGAACGTCACCATTCGAAAAAATCGACGTCATCGGGCGATGGGTGGAAAGATGGGCGACCTCAAAGGTTGCTTGTCACTTTTTCACGTGTCCCTTGAGAATTGGTGAAGATTCCAAGGACCATAAGGAGGACTTGCTGATTCACTCCCATTCTTGGTTGGGCAAAGCTTCATGTTTTGATCTTATTGAAGTCACTGACAGTCTCATGTTTCTTTTCGTGAAGTCATGGCTGCCAATGTTTCTTGGGTAAATCCCCATGCTTGTTGGGAATTTCATGTTATATTTCCATATGTTTCTTAGTTAAATCAGGTCAAAGACAATTTTTGTTGGGTAAACCACCCATTTTCTGTTGGTAAAATCATCCATGTTTCTTGGGAAAATCAACCGTTTTTCCTACTGTAACCTCCTCATTTCCCCTGGCTGAATCACCTCCTCCCCCAGGTTGGGCACCTCGCCCCATGCGTCCATTTCTTCGGGCGCCATCGCTGCCATCCTTTTAGCCGATCAGTGGCCTGACAGCGGTAAGCCTTCCTGGCTTGAAGCTATGATAAAAATGCTGATTTAACCAACAAAATTGGTGACTTAACAACAAAATATGGTGACTTAACCAACAAAATATGGTGATTTGACCAAGAAAATGGTGACGACTAACCAGCAATGACCATCCAAAATGTGGATTTAAGCATCCAAAAACCATTACTTTTGCCATTAAACATGGGGATGTAGCCTATATATGTATATATATATGGGATTCTTTTAAGTTGGTGCTTTATGACGGCTAAACGTGCGAATAGAATTATAATGACTATAGGCTTAATGGTGATGAAATACCATCATATACCCCTTCATCGTTTTCGTTATTGATATAAATGTATTGTGTATATGCAATATGTATATATATATATGATCGAGAGACCTTTAGGTACCATTTTGTTCCGGTTAATTCTGATAATTTTTAGAGCCTTTTGGATAATTGAGAGGATTTGAAGAATTAAATGATTTAATCCTTTTAATCCTTTTAATCCTCCAGAGCCTTTTGGAGGATTAAAAGGATTAAAAGGACTAAATGATTTAATCCTTTTAATCCTTTTAATCCTCCAGAGCTTTTTGGAGGATTAAAAGGATTAAAAGGATTAGATGATTTAATCCTTTTAATCCTTTTAATCCTCCAGAGCCTTTTGGAGGATTAAAAGGATTAAAAGGATTAAATGATTTAATCCTTTTAATCCTTTTAATCCTCCAGAGTCCTTTGGGGGATTAAAAGGATTAAAAGGATTAAAAGGATTAAAAGGATTAAATCATTTAATCCTTTTAATCCTCCAGAGCCTTTTGGAGGATTAAAAGGATTAAAAGGATTAAATGATTTAATCCTTTTAATCCTTTTAATCCTTTTAATCCTTTTAATCCTTTTAATCCTTCAGGGGGTCCGGAATTCCCGGCCCAAGCCCTTGAGAAATATATTTAAATCCATTTAATCCTTTTAATCCTCCAGAGCCTTTTGGGGGATTAAAAGGATTAAAAGGATTTAAAGAATTAAATTGCTGGGCTTTTCTTGGGATTCTGGGAGGTCTGGAGATTAAAAGGATTAAAATGATTAAAGGATAAATGATTTAATCTTTTAATCCTTTAATCCTTTTAATCCTTTTAATCCTTGGGGGGGGCCGGAATTCCCGGCCCAAGCCCTTGAGAAATATTTAAATCCATTTAATCCTTTTAATCCTCCAGAGCCTTTTGGGGGATTAAAAGGATTAAAAGGATTAAATGATTAAATCCATTTAATCCTTTTAATCCTCCAGAGCCTTTGGGGGATGGATTAAAAGGATTAAATGATTTAATCCTTTTAATCCTTTTAATCCTCCAGAGCCTTTGGGGGATTAAAGGATTAAAAGGATTAAATCATTTAATCCTTTTAATCCTTTTAATCCTCCAGAGCCTTTTGGGGGATTAAAAGGATTAAAAGGATTAAATGATTTAATCCTTTTAATCCTTTTAATCCTCCAGAGCCTTTTGGAGGATTAAAAGGATTAAAAGGATTTAAAGAATTAAATTGCTGGGCTTTTCTTGGGATTCTGGGAGGTCTGGAGGATTAAAGGGATTAAAAGGATTAAAAGGATTAAGGATTAAAAGGATTAAATCATTTAATCCTTTTAATCCTGTTAATCCTCCAGGGCCTTTTGGGGGATTAAAAGGATTAAAAGGATTAAATGATTTAGTCCATTTAATCCTTTTAATCCTCCAGAGCCTTTTGGAGGATCAAAAGGGTTAAAAGGATTAAATGGTTTAATCCTTTTAATCCTTTTAATATCCTTTTAATCCTCCAGGGGGTCCGGAATTCCCGGCCCAAGCCCTTGAGAAATATATTTAAATCCATTTAATCCTTTTAATTCTCCAGAGCCTTTTGGAGGATTAAAAGGATTAAAAGGATTTAAAGAATTAAATTGCTGGGCTTTTCTTGGGATTCTGGGAGGTCTGGAGGATTAAAAGGATTAAAAGGATTCAATGATTTAATCCTTTTAATCCTTTTAATCCTCCAGAGTCCTTTGGGGGATTATTGAATCCTTTAAATCCTTTTAATCCTTTTAATCCTTTTAATCCTTCAGGGGGTCCGGAATTCCCGGCCCAAGCCCTTGAGAAATATATTTAAATCCATTTAGTCCTTTTAATCCTCCAGAGCCTTTTGGGGGATTAAAAGGATTAAAAGGATTTAAAGAATTAAATTGCTGGGCTTTTCTTGGGATTCTGGGAGGTCTGGAGGATTAAAAGGATTAAAAGGATTAAATGGTTTAATCCGTTTAATCCTTTTAATCCTCCAGAGCCCTTTAGGGGATTAAAAGGATTAAAAGGATTAAATGATTTAATCCTTTTAATCCTTTTAATATCCTTTTTCCCGAGAAGCGCCTGCGAAGGGTCGTCGTAAAAACGCAGACCGTTATACTAGATCTTCACACCTTCACACCTGCAGATCTAGATCTTCACACTCTCACATCTGCCGATCTACATCTTCACACCTTCACATCTGCTGATCTAGATCTTCACACCCTCACATCTGCAGATCTAGATATTCACACCTTCACACCTGCAGATCTAGATCTTCAAACTCTCACATCTGCCGATCTACATCTTCACACCTTCACATCTGCTGATCTACATCTTCACACCTTCACACCTGCAGATCTAGATCTTCACATCCTCACATCTGCAGATTTAGATCTTCACACCCTCACATCTGCAGATCTAGATCTTCACACCTTCACACCTGCAGATCTAGATCTTCACACCCTCACACCTGCAGATCTAGATCTTCACATCCTCACACCTGCAGATCTAGATCTTCACACCCTCACATCTGCAGATCTACATCATCACACCCTCGCACCTGCAGATCTAGATCTTCACACGAACCCGCACATCTCAGATCTACAATCTTCACACCTTCACACCCGCAGATCTAGATCTTCACACCCTCACATCTGCAGATCTAGATCTTCACACCTTCACTATGCAGATCTAGATCTTCACAAAAAACCCTCACATCTGCAGATCTGATCTTCACCCCTTCACATCTGCAGATCTAGATCTTCACACCCTCACATCTGCAGATCTAGATCTTCACACCCTCACACCTGCAGATCTAGATCTTCACACCCTCACATCTGCAGATCTACATCTTCACACCCTCACATCTGCCGATCTAGATCTTCACACCCTCACATCTGCAGATCTAGATCTTCACACCTTCACATCTGCAGATCTCTTCTCGCTCTTCTTCTATTCTCTCTTAAGGCGGGGGCGGTGCCGCCGGAGCGCCACGAAACGCAACCCTTTCGCACGAAATGGACGTTGGACGTCAAAAACTGAGGAAAAATTGCGATTTAACTTGTCCCGCGGCAACCCTTTCGCACGAAATGGACGTTGGACGTCAAAAACGGAGGAAAAATTGCGAGTTTACTTTGTCCATCGCGACCCTTTCGCACGAAATGGACGTTGAACGTCAAAAACTGAGGAAAAAAAATTGCAACTTTTTATTTGTCGGCGCGCGCAACCCTTTTCCTTTTCGCACGAATGGAACTTGGACGTTAAAACGATGAAAAATTGCACTTTGAAGCGTCCCGCGCAAACCCTCTTACGCACGAAATGGACGTTGGACGTCAAAAACTGAGGACAAGTGCAACTTTATATTGGTCGCTCGCAACCTTTTCGCACTACCTGGACGTTGTACTTCAAAACTGAGGAAAAAATTGGCGACTTTGGAAGTGGTCCCCGCGCAACCTTTACGCACGAAATGGACGTTGGACGTCAAAAACTGAGAAAAATTGCGATTTTACTTGGTCAATCGCAACGCTTTCGTCTGTGTAAAAGTGTCTGTGTGTAAAAGCCTCTGTGTGTAAAAGCCTCTGTGTGTAAAAGTGTCTGTGTGTAAAAGTGTCTGTGTGTAAAAGCGTCTGTGTGTAAAAGTGTCTGTGTGTAAAAGCGTCGTGTGTAAAAGCGGTTGTGTGTAAAAGCGTCTGTGTGTAAAAGGGTCTGTGTGTAAAAGCGTCTGTGTGTAAAAGCGTCTGTGTGTAAAAGCGTCTGTGTGAAAAAGCGTCTGTGTGTAAAAGCGCGCGCTTTGTAAAAGCCTCTGTGTGTAAAAGTGTCTGTGTGTAAAAGTGTCTGTGTGTAAAAGCGTCTGTGTGTAAAAGTGTCTGTGTGTAAAAGCGTCGTGTGTAAAAGCGGTTGTGTGTAAAAGCGTCTGTGTGTAAAAGGGTCTGTGTGTAAAAGCGTCTGTGTGTAAAAGCGTCTGTGTGTAAAATCGTCTGTGTGTAAAAGCGTCTGTGTGTAAAAGCGCCTGTGTAAAAGCGTCCCTGTGGAAAGGGTCGTGTGTAAAAAGGCCTGCGTGTAATAGAAAAAGCCTCTGGTGTGAAAGTGTTTGTGTGTAAAAGTGTCTGTGTGTAAAGCGTCTGTGGTGTAAAGCGGCTGTGTTAAAAGCTTTCCTGTTTTTAAAAGCGTCTGTGTGTAAAGGAGTCTGTGGTGTACATCGCTTCTGTGTGGTAAAAGCGTCCTGTGTTAAAAGGCGTCTGTGTGTAAAGGAGTCTGGTCTGCGTGGAAAGGCTTCTGTGTTAAAATCTCTGTGTTGAAGCGTTTGTGTAAAAGCGTCTGTGTGTAAAAGCGTCTGTGTGAAAAGCGTCTGTGTGTAAAAGCTTGTGTGTGTAAAAGCCTCTGTGTGTAAAAGCGTCTGTGTGTAAAAGCGTCTGTGTGTCAAAGCGTCTGTGTGTAAAAGCGTCTGTGTGTAAAAGCGTCTGTGTGTAAAAGCGCCTGTGTGTAAAAGCTTCTGTGTGTAAAAGCCTCTGTGTGTAAAAGCTTCTGTGTATAAAAGCCTCTGTGTGTAAAAGCTTCTGTGTGTAAAAGCCTCTGTGTGTGAAACTGTTGTGTGTAAAAGCGTCTGTGTGTAAAAGGGTCTGTGTGTAAAAGGGTCTGTGTGTAAAAGGGTCTGTGTGTAAAAGTTTCTGTGTGTAAAAGCCTCTGTGTGTG